AGGTATAGATTTTTGTCGGTCAGCAGAATTCTGACCTCTGCTCTCTCCCCTGTCCTCATTCAGACAAGATGAACAAATGTAGAACCACGAGTGTCTACTAAAAAGAGACAGCAGAGGAGTGCCAGGCCCTCTGACCCAGAACATTGCCTTCTGTTCCTTTTAATATACTCCTTTTATGGTGTATCTTTTAAATACTAAAGCCAATAAATCTCTACTTTCTTTAAAGTCAAAGAAATTGGATTTATAACTTTGTAACCAGCAATCATAAAACTGGGAAGGAACTGCACAGCTCAGGAAGGAAGAATAAATATTTTGAACACCCCAGACCCAACCTGCTATTTGGTATAATGATAACGGACGCATGGGCAAAGTTTGGCCGCCCAATCCAAAATCTGCTTTAATTTCATCTCTCAGGAAAAATTCACTCCTAACAGGGCTCACAGATTTAAAAGGAGATTGATGCCCAAGATGAGAGAATGCTTGTCACAGAACATGAACTCACTTCTCGTCTCGTGGTCCAGGTGAATTATAGTACAGGCTCTAAAGCAAGTGTGAGGATGAATTCCTATCAGGATTAATTAAACAGGAGGTCTGGGAGGGTTTCACAGGAGCAGTAATCACTGGGAAATAGCATGGGCTCACTAAAAACAAATGCCAGTTGAATCTTACCTTCTTTTGTTAGCGGCAACTATCTGGCAAGGAACGGAATAAAACAAAGGCCAATGAATAGGAAGTTCTGCCATTAGGAAGTCCTAACTATTTCCCAAGAACAGAATCTGAGTCTTGGATGCAGGAGTAAGGATATGGTCTAAGAGCAGCATGAAAGACTTACAGGATTTTTTAAAAAATTATTTCCCCCCAGCTTTATTGAAGAATAATTGACAAATAAAATTGTATATGTTTAAAATGTACAACATGATAATTTGGTATACATATACACTGTGGAGTGATTACCAAGATCAAGTTAATTAACACATCCATCACCTTGTAAATTTTTAACTCTTTTAAAAACATTTTTTTTTTTTTGTGGTCAGAACATTTAAGATCCACTTTCATCAAATTTCAAGTACACGATCCCATATTATTAACTATAATCACTATCCTGTATGTTAGAGCCTTATAACTGAGAGTTTGTACCTTTGACATACATCTCACCATTTCACCAACCCCAACCCATCTTTCTACTCTGTTTCTATGAGATCAGTATTTTTTGTTTGTTTGTTTGGTTTTGTTTTTTAGATTCCACATGCAAATGACACCATGTAGTATTTGTCTTTCTCAGTCTGGCTTATTTCACTTAGCATAATTCCTTCCAGGTTTATCCATATTGCTAGAAATAGCCGGATTTCTTTCTTTTTTAAAGCTGAATAATATTCCTGTGCGTGTGTGTGTGTGTGTCACATTTTCTTTATTTATTTGTCCATCTATGGACACTTAGGTTGTTTCCGTGTCTTGGCTGTTGTGAATAATGTTGCAATGAATATGGGGTGCAAATGTCTTTTTAAGGTAGTGATTTCATTTCCTTTGCATATAATACCCAGAAGTGGAATTGCTGGATGCTGGATCATATGGTTGTTCAACTTTAATTTTTTTAAATATTTTATTTATTATTTATTTATTTATTTATTTATTTATTTATTTATTTATTTATAAATATATATATTTTTTAATTTTAGAGAGAGAGAAAGAGCATGAGCAGGAGGGGCAGAGAGAGAGAGGGAGAGAGAATCTCAAGCAGACTCCACGCTGAGTGTAGAGCCAGAGGCAGGGCTCAATCTCACAATCCTGAGATCAGACCTGAGCCGGAATAGTCATATGCTTAACCAACTGTGCCACCCAGGTGCCCCAAGATTTATTTATTAATTTTAGAAAGAAAGAGAGAGGGAGAGAGAGAGTGGGGGGAGGGGCAGAGGGAGAGAGTCTTCAAGCAGACTCCCCACTGAGCGCAGATCTCCTGATCCATGAGATCACAACCTGAGCCGAAACCAAGAGTCGAACGCTTAACTGACTGAGCCACCTAGATGCCCCTTCAATTTTAATTTTTTGAGGAATCTCCATTTTGTTTTCCCTAGTGGCTGCATCAATTTATATTCCTACCAGTGGTGCACAAGGATTCCCTTTTTTCCACATCCTTGCGAGCCACCATTCTGACACCAGAATATCACTTTCACATATTCTTTTGGTTAAAGCAAGTCACAGGGCTAGCCCAATTCAAGGGGGATGGGAAATAGACTCAATTTCTTGATTGAAGGAGTGGTAAAGTCACAGTGAAAACAGACATGTGGAATGGGAGGGATAGTTGTGGCTGTCTCTGGAAATGATCTATCAGTTTGTCCTTGAGAAAATTATTTAACCCCTGATTTCACATTCTTCACCTGTAAAATAGGAAATAATAACACCCACTACTTAGGAATGTTGTCACTAATAAATTAAGAAAGTGTGTTTGTTTAGTTAGCATCTAGTACATTGTAGTAGACACACAACAGCAACAACAAGAACATATATTGACTGAGCCCATATTATGTGGCAGAACTGTTCTAAGTACTTTATGTAATCTTTATAACAATTCATTAATGTACATATTAGTATTATCTGAAGAGAAACCCTAGGCACAAAAATTTTAAATAACTTCCACAAGGTTGGTTCTAGATGTAAATCACGAATGTCTTATTGCCTGCTACATCCAAAGGGCATTTCTTAGTTTTTGTCTCTGTAGGTTCTGTTGACAGCTGATGCTGTAGATCACTCCATCAAATGTTCTTCCTCCTTTGGCCCCCATGACGCCCCTCTGTCCAGTGTTTTCTCCATCACTGCTGCTTTTCAATCTCCTCCTAACTGAACCACATTTTTTTATCTTATTTTAGGATTTTATTTATTTATTTGATAGAGAGAGACAGCAAGAGAGGGAACACAAGCAGGGGGAGTGGGAGAGGGAGAAGCAGGCTTCCTGCTGAGCAGGGAGCCCGATACAGGGCTCAATCCCAGGACCCCAGGACCATGACCTGAGCCGAAGGCAGACGCTTAACGACTGAGCCACCCAGGCGCCCCACTGAACCACATTTTAAATGACAAGCTCTCTCCCATTTTTCCAGCTCTCCTTAGCTGGAGGAATCCATCCAATATGGCAACTCAATTTCTATCTTTCTATGGATGATTTCCAGTCTCCCCTCTCTCCTAAACTCCAATGCTTCCAATTCTAAGCATTTTTCATTACTCACCACATATGACTCAGGTCAGTTTGTGAAACTTCTGTCTTTCATTCTATCTCATTCCAGTGGGTGCAATCTTGTCAATTAATACTTGAAATGTTTTTCAAATTTAGATGTTCTTAGCAATCAGCTAAGTGCCTTCAGCCTGATCGAGGCCCTCATCATATCTTGCCTGGCTTATCAAAGTACTTTCTTAACTGGACTTTCCGCTTTCAGTTCCTCTCTGAGGTAGTCACATCGGTGGTATATTTCTACATGCTTGAACACACACCCTCCTCCCCACCATTACTATACTAGCTCTAGCATCCCACTCTCTCTGCTTCCCCCTCCACAGTCACATCGGCTTTTCCCTCCTTTCAAGGACCGGCTTCTGTTCTACCTCCTCCACAGGATTCCTTTCAGCTGGCTTCATCTCCTTCCTAGTTTTCCTAGGACAGAGAGTCTACTTCTCTTTTCACTGTCTGGAGTTATCTTTATAACTCTGCATTTTCTCTATTGTTCTAATATAAGATCCTTGAGGCCCCGGCACCATTCGCAGCAGGATTTCAAAGCTTGTCTGTTGGGTGAACGCTGTGTGGCATCCTGAAATACCTTCCTGCACAGTATGATTTGCTAGGAGGTGGCCCTAGCAACAGCACAACCTATGGCTGAGTGCCAGCTGTAGAATCAACTGTAATTGTCTGTAGTAGGGCCTGGACACTAGTTTTACTTAAAGCTAAAAATAATAATTATTATTATTACTATTATAATAATACCTTACCCTGCCTCCCCAAGTATGAACTTTCTGAGTCTCAGGTTTTTCACTGGTAAAATGAGGACAACGGTTATACAGACCTTGCTGGGCTATCAAGGGAATTAAATGAGATTGTGTATCTAAAAGGCTGTGGCATAGTGCCAGGAACCCCTCCCCTGATCCCCCCCCCCCGCACCCCCCCCCCCACGAGTTCAGTACTTCGAGGTTATTTCTGGGCTTATTGCCTGAGATGCTGAAGAGGTGGGTGCATGAGAGGTGCCCAGAGTTCCCTTTCAGAAAGCTCAGATTCTGTGAAACTCTAACTTGGTGGATATGGGAGACAGGTTGGCAATCCCCGGATTTTGATTCAGTTGCTTAGAAAACCAGCCAGGATCTATGTCCCGACATCTTTCTCCAGAAGCCATTTATTTGACCTTAGTTCTAACGTGCAAGCCTCCACCGTCTCCAAAACACCACGGTGGTCGAAAACGTCCTGCACTTGGGAAATCCTTCCTTTGTTGGCAGATCTTGGCCCCGAACCCGCATTTGGGGATCTAGCACCCTGAGGCCCATGGTTTTTGCCCAGACGGCGCTTTTTCAAGTTCGAAGCCAGGACTCGGTTCTCCAGATCGGGCGGGTGTGGTCCAAATTGCACCTTTCGCGCCACGCACCCAACGCGCGCTTTGAACGCTCGCGGCGAGGGACGGTGGGAGAGGGTGTTGGTTTGCCTGAGAACGGAGGGGTGGGCTGGCGAGAATGCCCGGAGCGCGCCTCGCTCCCACTCTCCAAGCCTGGGCGCAGCCGCTCTGAGCGCCTGGTCCCGAGCCGAGTCCCGCGCTCCTCCAGGAGCCGGCGAGCGCCCCCTCGTCCGCCGCTGGCGCGGGAGTCGGGCCCACCGGGATCGCAGCCCGCGGCGCGCGCCCCTGACCCGGCCCCGCCCCCCGGCGGCCGCGAGTGGCGGGCGGGGCGCCGGGAGAGAGGCGCGCGGGGCTGTGCGGCGCCGCCTCCCCTCGGTGCCCGGGGAGGGACAGAGCGGCCGGGCGGGAGAGAGAGAAAGCCCGACCGACCGGCAGCCGAAGAGCTGCATGCAACCGGTGGGAGGCCGGGCCAGCCGGGGCTGGGGCTCGGGCCGTTCTTCGGCGGCTCCCTGACGGCGAGCGCGGACGGCCCGGAGGCGGAGGCTCTGAGCTGGCAGGCGGAGGGTTGTCTCCCGCGCCCGCCTGCCCGGCGCGGTCCGAGGATGCGGGGGGGCGATGCCCGGGGCCAGGGACGCGCTCTGTCACCAGGCGCTGCAGCTGCTGGCCGAGCTCTGTGCCCGTGGGGCCCTGGAGCACGACAGCTGCCAGGATTTCATCTACCACCTGCGGGACCGCGCCAGACCCCGGCTCCGCGACCCAGGTGAGTGCGGCCGCCGCTGCCGGGCGCGACCGGAGGGCCCTGCGCTGGGAGTTGGGGCCGCACCGGGGCCTGAGGCAGAAGAGCGACGCGGACTGGGGCGAGGAGGGGGGTGGCCGCCGAGCTAGAGGAGGGGATCAGGAAGCGGCGCGCCGTGGCCTGATGCTGGCCCCGGGCGGGGACCCCGGCAAAGACTGCTGCGCGGAGGCCGCGTCCGGGATCGGGGGGGGCGGGGGGAGGAGGCTGGGGCAGGGTTGGAGGGACCACGCCCGCCACCTGCGCTCCAGTCTCCAGGGCTCCGGGGGGCGGCTCCCGAGCTCCAGGCTCCGCGCTCCACTTCCCGGGCTCTGCGCTCGGGGCGAGGGGAGGCCGCGGCCGCTTCACCAGCGGTGGGAAGGGGGACGAGGCCGGAGGAAACTCTGGGAAGTTGGGAGTTGCGGGCGGCCCCGGCTGCGGCTGAATCCCGCTGGGCGCTCCTCACCTTCGCTTCGGAGCGCCCATTTCCCTTCCTTGGTCTGGGGTGGGAAGGGCGGGGCGGGATCTGGCGCTGGGCCGGCAACGGGGAGCTCCCGGTCCTGGGCAGCCGGGCCTGAACCGGTTCCCGGCGGGTCGTTTGGCGTGGAGGCGGCCTGGGCCTGGGCGCCCGACTCTGTCAGCTGCGGCCGCCGGGCACACCCGGCTCGGTGGGCTCGCTGGTCACGGCTGGGGCACCTGCAGTTATCCTTAGTGAAAGTTGCACAGCTCCTAACTTTGGAAAGTTCGTTTATTCTGGCATTTGACCAATTAAGGTTGGAGGAAGGAGTTTTTAATGGAGCCATTTGCTTTCCCTAAGGGCCCTGGGTCTCCCACATCTCATCCACTACTGGTTACCGAAAGACACATTGCTTCCATATGTTTTACTTGAGATTCTTCTTACCTGGAGAAATCATTTTCTCGAATATTCTCTCAACCTAAATATTAAAAAAAAGTATTGTGTTAAAGATGGGATGAGAAAATGGCCTTTGCCCGTGATATTCCCGTGTATAAATATTGGAAATGAGCTATTGCTGTGCAGGTTATCCAGTACAAATTTGCCTATTTTAAGCCAACGCATTATATATTACATATATGTTATATAAAAGTCTACTTACACAAAGGATAAGTTAGGGAATTATTTGATTTATAAAGAGATATACTCTGCGCCTGACTTAAATAGCATTTCTTGATAGCATATTCAAAATTGGTCTGTGGGGTGAAGAGAAATCATCTGCTAAAAGTTTATATCAGATTTTCCCTATTCGAAATCTATTTCTCTATTGAAAAAGAAAGATTGTTGTTCCCCCTTGCCTGTGGTTACATTAATTAAGTTTATTGGATGACCCCTAATGGGTTACTTCAAAGTGCAGAGTTCAGTCAAGAAATAACTGTTGATCCTAAATGATCTCCCTGGAGGTTCAATACCCAGCCTTTGTGTGGCTCATTGCTGGCTGTGATGTTCTGCGGAGACCACAGATAGGAATCAGAGCTCCTTATTTCATGAACTGGGAGTCCTGGATGATGTCCTAAGTGGGCAAAGTTTCCTCCTGAAGCTGCAGGAACAAGAAAATTATGTAGTATGCTTCACCCAAAGCAAATGCTAGTGTTGAAATGTCCCACTTCCTTGCCTGTAACTGCTCCACAAGTTTCCATTGTTATCCCACATAAGTAAACAGTTTCCCTTGGCTTTATGAGAGAAGATGGATGAGGCCTCTTGCCGAGTCTCCTGTTTAACACTCCACAACTTTTTGGCTGATTTTATGCCTCTGCTTCTTTTAATACATGGGCTGGATTCTATGTTCTTGGGCTTTCCTCCAGCCCGTGCCCCTCTGGATCTTTGGTTTGGGTTGGAAGTACCCTGCTTGTGAGGCAGGAGTGGGGCACTGTGAGCGCAGGGGTAAGGGGGGCTGAGGCCAAAGCGCACAGCCAAAGTGCATCCTCTTCAGCTCAGGCCAGAATCTCTCCTCACTTCCCTCCTTCCTCTCCTTGCCCACGGTAATTCCTACATTAGATGCATTTATCTCCATCCCTCTGATGCTGTTTGATTGTCTGAACCAAGAGTGGCTTTCATTTCGAGCCCTAAAGGCTGAGTGGCTGAAGTAGCTGCATTGCACAACACTGTGCATGGTACCCTTGTTGTTGGTTCCTGTGGACCAGAATAAGCATACACAGCGGCCCTGGGACGTGGGTCCCCGACACAGTCCTCTCCAGAAGTGAATGACTTCCTTTTCTGCAGAGGAACTCACCTGAACGCCATGTACCAGCGCTCTCTGTCCATTGTCTGTCCATGGTTACTCAGCGGCAGTTAAGTTTTCTCAAGCTCAACTGCAGAACTTTGGTTTTAAAAGAAGAAAACGGACATAATTCCCTGTGGGCAGCAGAAGGACACTGCATCTGGGATGTTTGTTCATTTTTTCAGAGGTCACAGACCAGGTGGCCCTCCTGAAGGGTTATTCTCTGCCCAGGCTGTGGTAGGCAGTGTGCTGAGGTGGGAGTATAGCACATAGCCTTCCCTGACTTGGTGTTAAGAGAGGATTTGATGAAAGAGCAATTTTTAAAAATGAAGCTGAGTCACAATTGGAACTGGAATGCCTCACCCAGCCTTTCATCTGTACCAACTATGGAAAGTAACGTGCTGATCTTTAAACTGAGTCTGGGCACTTTTGTCCATAGAGAGCAATTAGAATCCTTCTGTGAAGTGTCTTTATTGTTGTTTCATATATTGGCAATGTGGGGCATACACTTGCAAATCCCAGAGTATAGCCTTCATGACGGAGGGAAGAGCAAGGACAGAGGTCCTAAGATAGGGGCATCCTTGATGTGATCCAAGGAACAATGAGTTTAAGGGTGGCTGCAGAGAGAAAAAGATTGAGAATGATTAGAAATGTGGTTGAGGGCTGGGGGGGAGAGATCACATAGGGCCTTGTCAGCCAGTAGAAGGACTTTGGATTGTACTCCCAACGAGAAGGAAGGGGTTGAGAAGTGGCAGCACTCTGGCTGCTTGCTGAGAAAATGCTGTTGAAGATCAAGGACAAAGACAGAGAAACTTGTCAGGAGGCTGTTGTAGTGATCCGGACAGAGTGGAGAGCGGCTTGGCCAGCATTGTTGTAATGGAGGTGGTGAGAAGTAACAGTGCTAGGATTTGTTGATGGAATGGATGTGAGGGGTGAGAGAAGTAGTGATAAAGAAGACTCCAAGGCTTTTTGACCCAAGTAACTCCATTTACTGCAGAGGGGAAGACTTCAGGAAGAGCAAAGTTGGAGTGAGGAAAGAAATGAGGTTTCTGTTTTAATTAAAAAAAATATTTTTGTACATATTAAGTGTGTGATGTCTCTTACTTAGTTCAACAATTACCTGAAACATGAATGTGTTCTTTCACATTACCAACTGGTCTGTGCTCACATTTTGTAACTGGAGACTTCACACTCTCTCCTCAAGAGGGCCAAATGACTGTAGGACAGCATTTATTGTTAAAAGATTTTTCCTGATATGGGATGAAGAGCTCTGTTTAACTTCCACCCATGGACCTTCGTTGCAATTTTTTTGCAGTTAGAAACCATGGTTTTTTTCTTTGGCTCTAAAGAGGAAGAGATTTTAACTTTTCTTAACTTGCCGTTTCCACATCTGGAAAAGGAGGGAGGATTGGATCATGTGATCTCTAGGTTTTTACCACGTTTTATTATTTTCCTTTTTAAGTCTTTTCTTCTGTAGGATGCCAACCACGTCTGTGCCAAGCATTTTATGTAGGTCATTTCATTTGATCCTCATGATGTCTTCCAAGACCTTGCTGCCCCAAGTGTTTGTCTGTGGACCAGCAGCATCAGCAGCATCTGGGAGCTTATTAGAATGCAGACTCTCAGGCCCCACCCAGACCTACTGCATATGAATCTGTGTATACACAGGATCTTCAGGTGATTTGTAGGCACGTTCAAGTTTGAGAGATTTGTATGTGCAAATAAAAACTGAATCTCAGAGCTAAACTAGCAGCAAGGCCATGGGATCCATGGAGAAAGGGTTGAGTTTAAGTCAAAGTAGCTTCTTAGGTAAACACATCACAAGTACTAAGAATCTGAGAGTTACTGTCAGTGAAAATTTTTTCATTCACATAGGTATTTTTCGTAAGAGCCGCCTTCAGACCTACTTTGTCTATTCTGTTCTTCTATAAAGGATTTAATCTCTAACTGTAGGTTAAATTCTGTGCAGTTATGTTTGTTAAAAGGGAAATTCTGTGCAGCTTAGTTTTTAGGTTATGCATTCTTTTTGTTCAGGATACTGGGTTTACATTGACATTGCAGCTTTGTATTTCTAGAGATTGTTCTTCATTTTCTGGTCCGGGTGTGAAGCAGAGCCTTATGGCTCATCATTAATGACTCCTCCTTTCAAGTGGACATTAACCCTCTTAGGAAAAGCTTTTTCTAAACAAATGGTTTTCAACCTGGGCTGCACGTTCAAAACATTTAGGGAGCTCTGACAAAGATAAAACAAACAAAAAGCTACCAATGACTGAGTTTTATTCTAGACAAATTAAATCTGAATCTCTGGCGGTGGGGCCTGGTATCATTGTGTTTTTTAAGTTCCTCTGTTGATTCTAAAGTGTAGCCAAGTGGAGAACAACTGTCAAGACCATCAAGCAGAGGATGAAACCACCGAGTCTTCTCAGCTCAGTTCATATCTCTTTCCTGAAAAATTAGGAAAGATGGTATCAAAAGCCAGGGGTCTTGTAATAGTTACTACATACATCGACTGATTCTTAACTTCCTTTTGATAATATTACTCCAAATTTTTATATTGAGGATTCTATAAAAATATAATGAGAATCCATTATGTTTTATGTTTACCCGACTTGGGGGGAAAAAAAAAGAACAAATTGAGAAAATCATGTCCAAATAGTATTTCATTAAAAGGTCAGAATGTGGAATCTTCACTAATGTCACCTTATATTGAATTAGAATGAAATCATTTATTAGAAGATGTACATGTAAAATAAT